AGAGAGAGAGAGAGAGAGAAATATTGGTGGAGAGACGAAAATCGTTGTGTTGTAGAAGAAAGAGGACAGTGATGGAACTGCCGCTCGCTGAAATCGAGCTCGATCTAGCACAATCAATCAAACGGAGGCAAATCACAGGAGCAGGAAAAAGAGGGGAGCTTTAAAAAGAGAGGAATTGCCTTAGAGCAAAAGCAGGAGAAAGGATACGTCGTGTCAGCCTGGAAACGTAAAGAGAGAGAAAGAGAGGAGGAGACAGAAAGCCCCGTGCGACGTAACGGCAGAGACATCACAAATCAAAGATGCGTTGACAGTTAATTCATAACTCGCAACCCATGACCGTCCTTTCCCCCGCGCGCGCGCGCGCGCGCTTTCACCACATCGCACACGCCGTTTCGACCCTTCTTCGTCCCCTCCCCCGTTTCAATCTGTATCCCCGCGGGAGTTGTGCGTGTGGAACGTATGCGCTTTGGGAGCGTATGCACCGCCGGAGCGCTCACATTGTTGCGCACTTTTGTTTCTTGCCATTCGTCGCTTTCCCCGGCCGTTAGTTTTTTCAGTGGCGGTTCCGTCCGCATGCGACACGTCGCGGCGTATTACGACGGCGCAAGTAATTCTCAAGAGAAAGTAAATATCACAGCATATCGTTTTTTTTCTTCCTTGGTAGCTGTACGCCATTACGAATAATTGAAGAAACAATTTGACACAAGGCAATTAGCAAGTTAATTAAATGTTTTTTTCTTTCTTTATAAAAGGAAAGTGAATTACTCTAATCACATTTTGGTGAGAAATATTTATTAAGCACCAGTTTAAAGTACATTATTACAGTATAAGCACTAGTATAAAGTACATTGTTACATATAAAAAAAATGAAGAAACAATTCAAGAAAGAATGTAATAATTTTATATTTATGTTGTCAAATGTAGAAATTTATCCGCCATTCTCTCTTGAAATAGCTGTCGCTAATAATTTAAAAGTTCGATTTCTCTTACATAATTACATTCAACTTATCCCTTCTATCATCACGCCGTCTTTAAAATGTTCATGAAGAATCCTAAAGTGTCACACGTACTTAATAATAGCAGCAGAATGAGAATTCCAATGACAACTTATATAGCTGCACCATTCTTCAACTGCTCGCTCAGCGACGAAAATCGAGTTAATCATGATTCCAACGAGATTAGCTTTCATTAATTATACCGTTCCACCGCCATTCGATGTCGGTTTCACCTTTATCTCCACCGTCGATCTGTTCGACCACATTTACCACCCTTGGCCCAATAGCCACCCTTCCAAACCGACTCACCGGCACGTTTCGTGCGACCGACGTACACTGAATGGGCGTTCATGGCTCATTTACATTAATACACGGGAAACACGAAACGCGCGTTTGCCGCGAAAAAGAAAATTATCCGCCGACCGGATGCAAAGCGTCCTTCCCTTTGCGCCTGGCAAACGGTCGTCGCGTCGTAAAACGAAAGTTCCCGCAAGCTACGCGGATTGTCGTGATTCTTGGCGCGGAGATTTTATCGCCCTTTTAATTATTCCCGTCATAAGCGAGTTATCGAACATTCCTAGGACTCTCCTCGAGAATTCCCATCAGCGTGAAAACCCGTGCGGGACGCGTCTCCTTGGTTTCCAATTGACGCGACTCGGGCCCGCTCTTAAGAAGGGCTGCTTGAAGCGGGAGTTGGAGTTTTCTGTCTCTCCCCGTGAGAGTAAAGGGTCCGCGGTGTGTGCGGGAAAGGGTCGCCGGAGAGGCGAGGCCGACTTTCTCCGAGCAAATTAGTCCCCTCGATGGGGATATAACTTTGGAAAGCTCGACTAACGTTGCGTTTCCATGAAATGGAAGTTTCCCAAGTCGGAGACCGGTAAGTCGTCAAGGCTCGGCAGGTATCGCTGAAATATTTAAGACCCACTTTACGTCGATATGGCAGGCGTCGCTTCTGCTTAAGCCGCGTCGACGTGTCACTGAGCAATAAATTTGAGTAATCGGGGCCAAAGGTTACGACGAGGCTGAGGCAACTGCTTGCCGCGTGGGAAATGAGTTCGAGACTGTCACCGATTCGAAAACTGAGCCGAAGATCTTCAGTCAGCGAGAGTGCATCCTGTGCAGATAGGTTTTAAGAGATCCCTAGTGGATCGTTAGTTCGGAAAGGCGTTTCTCTAATGAAAACTACTCACGACGATGTTATCCGAGAAGATAAATTTATCTTCTTCCGAAAATTCTAGAACTCTAGAAATATTTTTAAAAAGTTATTTTTCTACAAGTGAAAATCTTACGTTCATAATTGCTAGGTGATATATTTCCGACCAATTTCTTAAAGATATGAAATAAGAAATGCAAAAGATTATATATATAGTTTTAATCGGAAATGAACGTAGAGATTGCGAAAACTTCTTACGGATCGCGCGATAATCATTTCTCAATTTGCGCAATCGGGTTAATGAGAGCAGCCGGCACTTGGTTCAGCCGGCGATGCTCGATTGCTGGTGCTTTAAAGGGCCTAATCGATGCCTGATAGGGCAACATTATTACCTAACGCCAGACCCACGGACCGTACCATTATCTCGCCTGCTACCATTACGCATAGCCGCTACCTTTCGATTCCGCGGATTATGCCGTCGAATCACGCCAGCTCGCTCGTAATTTGCGCTCAGTCCGCCGAACTAATAAGAGAAATTAAACGTACCTTACGTGAAAAGAAAGAATGGCTACGCGGTCGATCGAGGGTCGTCATTAGTCGTGTCGAATCGCTCGACATAGAAATAATTGTAGAATAAAAAATTATAAGCAATTAATTAAATTAAATTATAATATTAATATTTTTAATTAATTTTTAACATATTTTTGAGAATTAAATATTAATACTAACTTATTTATTTATCAAATGTGAAAATTATGAGAATTTCTCATATATTTGATTATTGCAAATTATTACTTAAATATACACTCAAAAAAATATTTCACTGATGTAGTTAGATTTCTAGATATTGCAACAAGAATGTATCGCTATTTTTCGTATTTGTGAAAACATTGTTTGTCACATATAGAATTTATAGCAGTAATGTTCTAGCAATAGCTTCTGAAAAATTTAGGTACCATTGCTAAATGTTATTCATTGCATGATATAAATGAGTTTTAGCAGTACAACTAAATATTGCTCACTGCATAGTATAAATGAGTATTAATATTGTAGCTAAATATTACTTACTGTATAGTATAAATGAGTTTTGATAATACAGCTAGAACAATCTTTATGAGTAGCTATCGATTATAACTGCAGCATCGAGATAATGTGACAATATATTCTAGATGTCATAGCTTAACTTTTTTTTAACTACAGCTAAATTATTTTATAAACTTTTAGTGTACCTATACAATATTTTATAATTGAATTTATTAGAAAAAGATGTGTTAAGCAATGCATTTTAATAAATTTATTATAATGCATTGGTTAACACATCTTTTTCTAATAAATTCAATTATAAAATATTGTATAGGTACACTAAAAGTATATAAAATTAATTTAGCTGTAATTTAAAAAAAGTTAACTGTGACATCTAGAATATAATTATTTAATCAAATATATCACTTCTGTAGAATATAATAATCTAAACTATAGTTAATCTTTTTCTACTCATAAATAATGGGAAGTCTAATTACTATGGCTATAGGCTATCTTTCTAGTTTCATTATTTATATTGTAGGTACATATATTAAATATGTATTTTTATATATTGTAGTAATTTGGCTTCTCAAACAATTTGTGCGTAGAAAGAAATAAAGTCTGACTATTAATACTTTTTCTTCCTATATATATATCAGTAACAGGATCAGTCTCTGGACACAGGATAGATAACTAAAAAGAAAGATTTATAATTATATATGTATTGAAAAATACATATATAAATACTAATAGGCACTAATAAAAATACTAATATCTTATGAAAAAGAATACATTTATTTTCAATGTGTTTTCAATCTTTTATATAATGTGTTAACAATCTTTTATATATGTTAATGTTTTATATCATATAATGTTAGTGTTTTATATAATGTTAAATGTTTATACATATATATTTATATATATATATATATATATATATATATATATATGTAAATGATGCAGTGTGACATATTGTTTTCCATCACTGCCTTTACAATATAACAAAGGTAAATAATGTAAAAGATCAGTAATTAAAATTGCTATTATTTTAGCAGTATTACAAACACTATAACAATGAAAATGTTCATTGTACATTGTACAAAAAAGGACATTGCATACGAAACAGATATTATTATTATTATTTACCTATATATAAAGTAAAATTTATAAGAATTTCATTGCTGTAAAACTCAATCTCAAAATACCTCAAAATATTAAATATTAATTCTAAATATTAAATTTAAACAAATATTATCTACTTTAGATTATAATAAGATAGTACCTTAAATTATAGTAATTAGTTTTTTGAGCGTACAAATAACAACCAAATATATAGTCAAAAAAATATATAAACTTAAACATATGCTTGCATATTTAATACGCATTGCATATATCAGACAAAAAATAAAATAACATTTAAAAGCTGAAAAATAAAAACAGATCTCGTATTTTTACTTACAAGAAAATTTTTTAAATAATTTTGGTAGTTGAGCATCAGACTTCCATTCATCAAATTCAGTTGTTAAGTTGTACAACTCCTTCTGAATTAGTCTCCATAAGCGATAACTTTCGGGAGAGTAGTTTAAATGAGCTGAGTGAATAATCTTAAAACATAGATCTAAAGCTCTTATTGGGGATTGAGCGAGAAATTGTGTCTCTCTGTCGAGAATAACGTAACAAGCATCTATGTCTTCTATGGATGATCCACAGACGAGAACATATGGCTGCATAGTAAGATTCCAGTGAATTAATTTTTTTCTCTTTCTTGAATAAACGTTTGAAGTTTTTGAACACTCTAAAAATTAAAATATTTAAATAAAATTAAAATTAAATTAAAATATTTTTCCAAAAATATTTAAATCTTAAAGACAAAAGATATGTATGTAACATTTCTGTAAGATAAACACTTACTTCAATTTGGGAAATTACGCCCTCTTGAATTTCTCTATGAGGTAGCCTCCATGTACCGGACCGGATTTACGCGCAACTGTTACGACAGTATCTAAATAACAAAGTGACAATAATGCCACTAAATTTTTGCTATCTATTAACAAAAGGAAAAATTGACAATATAAAAGCCAATTTAAAATTGTAAAAAATGAATACTTTGCAATAAAAATAAAATTGTGTCCAACATTTTTTACCTTCTGAAATCTCATCATTTGCAAAAAGTAGACAATTATCTTTAACGGTCTCACATTTATTGTCTTCATTGTTTAGCGCTTGTATAATACGATTGCAAAACTCCGAATAAGAATTATAGGCCTTTAGTTTTTGTTCGGGATATAGTAAATCAAAATCTATTTCAAACTAAAATATAAAAAATAGAAAGTTAAAATACAAAATCAATTTATAGTACATGATAAAATGCAAAGCAGTACATAATATTAAAATAATATTAACCAAAGTGTATCCAAGTTTTTCTTGAAGAACTGGATATTTTTTTAAATAAGTTGAAATATTTTCCAGCTCTTTCTTTTCTTGAATTAGTGTAGTAGTTTGTAGAATTACTCTGTTAGTCTTACTTTTATTAATATTTCTTTTGTCATTTTCTTTATTTGTAAGTCGAGATTTAGCATGCAATTGTGCAATTCTTTGTTTTGACGTATCTGTCCAATAATCTATTATTGTAGGCCATGGTTCTACATTTTCCTTAAGAAAAGCAAGTTTTCCTTGCAGATCATCATCTATTTAATAAAATAAAAATAACAAAAAATATTTAAAATTTATTATCTAATTACAGAAAAAACTGCAAATATAAATAAACAACAAACCTGCTACTAAATCATCTTGAGAATCTGATTGATCCTTACTTTTAGATGCAATAATACCAAGAGCTTTAAATTCTTTTCGTATAGAATAGTATTTTGTGATTAATTTTCCTTTTACCAACAGTTTATTTCCATTTATATATTTATATGGAATGTAATAAAGCTCCTGCAAAAATAAATTTAGCATAAATGCAAATCTACATAAAAATGTGCAGTGTTTTATATTCAATAACTCGTTATTAAAATTTATATTATCTTACGCTATCTTATTGGGGAAATAAATATTGAATAGCACCAACCAGTTCAGTGAACTCTGTAGGTGAAATTCTAAGCAGAAAAAATAACATTTAAAAAAAAAAAGAGACAATTTATAAAAAACGAGAAAAAATGATTATGATAATGAGGATCACAATTTAAAATTATAAAATAACAAATAAGCTTACTTGTCACATTTGCTCAATTGATTCTCAATAATAATATCTGTTAACTTATTTCTATCTTTATCCTTCAAATAAGAGCCTTGCTTCGCTAGTTGTAAGAAACATCTACCTGTAGCTGACTTGTTTAGAAGGAAACGAAGTTGCTGGACAAAATTATTAAAAAATTATTTAAAAAATATTAGAAAACGCATGCAAAAACAACATTTTAGAAAATTGCATTAAAAAATCATAAAAATATTCTCTTTATTAAATTTTGAACAAAAATGGAAAATCAGGGAATTTTCAAGGAATTTTTTTACAAAATTTGAATAGATACTTTGTAATATATTTTTACAAAATCGATTATTCATAACTTACTTCACCTCGTGTGACATTGCATTCGTCACTCTCTCTCTTTCTTTTTTTGAAAATATTTTTTGAAGCTTCTTGATGAATAGATTCCTCCAAGTTTTTCTCTTGATTGTTGTTTTTGGAATTTCTTCAATTTCTTGAATATCTTCTGATTCGTTTGAAATATTCTATGTATGGAATTGATAATTTAATATTTAAAATAAACATTTTTAAATTTTTTGAAATAAGCTTTTAAATTAAATACAATATTAAAGCATACTTACTAGTTAAAGTGAAAGAGGAATAACAGTCTTTTTACTTTTATCTTTCTCACGTATCTTTGTAAAATTATTTTCATCAATCTACAACAGAGTGGAATAAAGAAATTCAGAAT